CACACATCATTGTAAAATCAATACATTCATCATTTCGTTCAGAATCTAAAATATTAATAGGTACAATAAATAAATAAGATTTATATTGGATAGTCCGTCAGTCTTTTCACGGACCGCTGTAGCGTGCATGCATCAACAATCAACATCTTTCATTGTTCATTATATAATTAATATTATTAATTATAGTATATTACCACTTACCCAAGGACAAGGTTCTAGGGTTCTAACTCCCCTAGTCCCCTGAATTTTTTTTATTTTACAAAAAAAATCTTTTTTAGGTACCACCACTTCAATAAGCAGAGTCTGAGAGTCGATCAATTGTTGGTAATTTTTAATAAATATAAATTAAATTGTTAATTTATTATTAATTATAATTTTTATAACTAATTACCTTTATAAAAACTGTTAAGCAAATTATTGAAGTTATTTACACATGAAAACCCTAACCGAACTAAAATCCTGCGTACGCTACAGCAGTATATTAGTATTTACTGCATATTACCACAGGCCACAGAGTAAAATAATAACATAATATATTGCGCATAATACATCCATCATAGATTAAAAATTACTATTTAGTATATTGGATATTAGTATACATACCTACCGCCATACTACATTACGAGGTGTCGTTGATAGGAACACCGCGGATATTTGTTAATTGTTATTTGTTTATCAGAATTTAGAATAAAGACCTATCGGCTACCACTTATCAAATTATAATTATGAATAAGTACTCAATCGTTTACAGGGACACAGTGAGTCCCGAGGTAATTCTTTTCTCACATAAATCAGTGAATCAATCGATTTTTTTTCAAACTGATGTTACTGGTTTGTCTGGTTTCCGGTGACGTGACGTAGCAATAACAGTTAAGCTAGTTTCAGAAATTAACTAGCAATTAAAAAATGTATGATACCTACTTAAATATTAAATTTACAATTTATCATARAATATATAACCACTGATTTTAAAATATACGATGAYTGTYATAGTATGAAATTATTATAAAATCAATGGTAATATTTTACTATGATAAATTAACTAATATTTCCACAATTTYAGTAATTTTAAGTTATGTTCCAAATATTCAATAGCCAGTTGCCATAGATAATCATTATAATGCTATTGCAATATTGACTAATCGAATATTAAACATTGTCAATTTAATGACTAGTCATTAGTTCATTATTGAAAATAACTGATTGCTGACATTGACGATAACATTTTTCATACACGGTGAAGGGAAAGGGAACACAAAAAACAATCTAAATATATGCTTTGGACTACAGGTTACTGGAAAGTGGACATAGTACATTTGTACATTTCAATGATATTGTGTATATAGCCTATCTAGGCATGATGTGTGCTTAGGTATACCTACCTAAATGCCTGTTCAGAAAATTATAAATTAGCATTAAACTGCATACAATTTTAAAACTATTTGTAACTGATGGAGAATTGTATTAAAATATAATTTTATATGTAAAATAAATATTTTTTTGCGCACTATGTTTATATTGAAAAATATTTTCTAACCTAACCTTACTTCTTAAGAATTAATTATTTTTTCATTTTAGAGAACATATAATGATATAACTAGGTACATGCATGTTTAAYAGGTTTTTAATARAAAATAAAATAAATTAAATACTATAGAATTTCTTGGTGATTTAGAAATAAATAAGTACTAACACAGCAGAATAAGACAATTATATAAATACCTATATACTGATATCGAGGTAATTATTAAAAAAATTCACATTTCATGAAAAACTCTGACATTTTCCAATATTGAAAAAACTCCCCCGGATGTTTTTATTTAAGCTAAAAAAGAGGACATGTCCGGGGAAAAGAGGACGTCTGGTAACCCAGTGTGTATACAATATAAATATTGTCAATATTTATATTGTATACACATTACAATTTGTAAATTGTAATACATTATAATTTGTTAAGTTTAAATTTTAAATTGTAATACATATATAATTTTAATGACGGTGGCTTATAAATTATAGTTTAGATATTGCACACAATAAATTTTGACTTAATGCATTAAAATTTCATTTAAAATTAGAGCAAAAACATAGAAAAACTCTCATGCAATGCATGATTATAGATTTTAAGAATTTTTTTTTTGTTAGAAATGGGAATTGGGAAGAATTCTTACACGGCGCATTGGACTTGAATTTTCAAAATTCAAAATTTTAACCATAAAACATGATTTTGAATATGAGATATTTTGACAAGTTTTTTGTTATTAGATTCTGAGCGGAGCGAGGAATGTATTGGTTTTACAACGATATTTATTTCTTTTTCTTTTTTAATCTGTAAACACTTTTTCTCCCTCTAAACTTGCTCAAAAGTATCAATAGGTACGTATAGTGTACACACTATACGCAGTATAATATATCTGTAATATACTACTAGGTAATACTTTATAAACTACTAATACTATTTGACTATTGAACACAAAAATAATATTATTTTTCTTGTGATGAACTACAAATTAGTTAAACACTTGGCTATATATAATAGTATCGACAGGTTAAACACAAAATATATTTAATTACGAGGGAGCCTATTGTCAACACGTAGATACGTAGTCRACCAACGAAGTAACAGAGCCAATTTAATGCGGCCGTTAACTTACTGGTACAGTGGCAACGGGTGGGTACTTGGTATGGTATATATACTACTGGGCACACGACTATACCTAACTATAATTTAATGCCGTA